GTGCAATGGCGCGATCTCGGCTCACCGCAACCTCCGCCTCCTGGGTTCAGGCAATTCTCCTGCCTCAGCCTCCTGAATAGCTGGGATTACAGGCACGCGCCACCATGCCCAGCTAATTTTTTGTATTTTTAGTAGAGACGGGGTTTCACCATGTTGACCAGGATGGTCTCGATCTCTTGACCTCGTGATCCACCCGCCTTGGCCTCCCAAAGTGCTGGGATTACAGGCTTGAGCCACCGCGCCCGGCCTCTTCAGATTTTCTTAATTCTCCACCTGATTAAGACTAGGCCACCATCTTTTCTGGCAACCCAACCTACAGCCACTGCCATCTTCCTAATTAGCAGTCCCCCAAACTGCACTAAAACTGCGATTAACAAAACCGAAGATAACATGTTTTTGACCTTTCTTCCTAGAAGTCAAAGGGCTCTTCGGATAGAAAAGGTCAGGAGGTTCTGCATCAGGCTTGCCTTCACACTCACTATTAGTGGAAGAGCTGTGAAATCTACCCATCGCACACCTGTATTGAGTGTTTCAGTGTACTTACCCATCACCACACAAAAGTTAGAGTAAATTAACAAGTCATTCTGGCCCAAGCCCCTCAAAACGAAGGCAAATTTGGTGAACCAAGGTCCTTCACTGCCTGTGGTAATAACCTCAGTTCACTTAAGTCCTTTCCTGGAGAACCACATTAATCTCCTGATTCAAGAGGCACCTCTGGCCAGCACAGAGCAAGAAGGAAAGCATAACTTCAGGGTAGGGGGCTGCACATGGAATTTAGAAGTTGTGATTTAGCCTACAGCAAAAGATGGCAGCATTGCTAACATTTAGCTGGAAAAAGCATTGCCTGGACCACACTACTGGAGCATCTTTACTAAAGCAGCTTAACAGCAGTTGCCCAGATGTCGTTGCTGGATAGCGGTGGAAAGACCCATCCTTGGTGAACGAAGTTGCCTTTCGGATGATCGGATGGCACCAGGCACTGATCCCAATCATGCCTGATCTGGATGAGTGCTGGCAGGGAGTGTTCAGCTTGGAGGTAAAACTGCCAGAAAGGCTCCAAGAGGTGAGCACGTGGGAGCTCGTCTGGATCCCCAAACTCTGACTTCATTTCACGTTTCTGAAGTAAAATTTTCTTTTTGTTTCTTTTTGAATTTCCTTTTCCTCTCTTCCTCTTGGTCTCCTTCCAGCATAACTCTGAGGGCTCTCTTCAGCTTCATATAGTTCAGAGCGCTTTTTCATGAGTTTTCTCAGTCGCTGAAGATGATGCTCAAAAGTCTCATCTGCTGAGGCTGGAGGACAGATCCCTTTCCTCACTGCAGCCTCTTTCTACAGTTTCCTCAACTTCTCCAAAGCCCGAAGAATGTCCACCATTCTTTTGGTATCGCTTGTTTTTTCCCCACTTCAGACAGTAGGCCATCAGCGGCTGCTCGGACTTCCTGCTCTCGCTTCTTCTCCACCTCCTGCACACACTTGACCCTCCAGCGGTCAATCTCCTGCTAGCGTTCCACCGCCGGCTCGGCCTCTGCCTCCCGCTCGGCCTCGCGTTCCCGAGTCCCCTCCAAGGGGAGCCTGGGTAAACGGCTGTAGCCGCTCGGCCACTTCCGTAGGCCTTCGGCTTCGGCCTCGCGCAGGGTCTGGATCAGGCTGTGAAGCCGCCACACCAGGCCCAGAGACCCGCGCGGTCGCGCGCACACTTCGCCAAGGCTGGGCGCAGCGTGCGTGCCCTTGGTCACCGGACAGCCCGCCCGTCGCGGCGTCCAGAACACCGCCTCCAGGCACCGCCAGTCGCTGGAGGGCCGCATCCCAAGCAAGTAGGCGGGCGGCGGCGCCTGAGACCAGAGCGGGCTTCAAGGCAGCGCGGGGCCCGGAGTCTGCGACCACAGTAGCTAGCCGGCGTCGGTCCCTGGGAAGGGCCGGCACTGAGACGGCAGCGGAGGCGGTGGCACCGGCTATTAGGTGCCAGCGCCGCCACCGCCGCCGCACGAGACTTCCGCGGAGGCTCGGAGCTGCAGAGCCAGCGGAGGCTGAAGGAAGGGGACAGAGGCTCCCGGGGTGCTGGGGGAGACGCGGCGGGAAAGCCCGGGAAAGCCGGGGAGAGTAGCAGCGGTGGCTGACAGCCGAAAGGAGTGGGAAGTGGCGGCTGCGTGCTTGGGCGGGCCTGGCCGAAGAAGGGCAGCAACGCCACGTTCGCGAGGGAGATGCTGTGGGAAGTGACAGGAATCTGAGCGGTTCCTCAGGAGAGTTTTTCCGACGGAAGTGACGTCTTACGGCGCGCGCCGCCGGTAGACTCGCCCCTTCGGAAGGCTCGGTAAGTAGGTGGCCGTCGTTCAACCTTCGATCGTTCTGTTCGTAAATACTGTTCTTACTGAGCATGCCGGATGCAGAGCCACCCGCTGCTCATACAGTGAGACTGAGATATACAGATCTTCTCTTCTTGGAACGTCTTGTCTAGTATAACATAGTAATCAAGTAATCATGGTGAGTATCTTCGAGAGGTTGGAGAAGGTTATCCTAAGGAACTGCGGCTGCAGCTGAGATAGTTCCACATGGCTGGGGAGGCCTCACATCGTGGCGGAATGCAGAGCGTATAGCCTGCAGTGAACGACGAGAGAGCAATCCTGGTAATTCTTTTTTTTTTTTTTTTTAAATATATATTTTATTGCGTTTTAGGTTTTGGGGTACATGAGAAGAATATGAAGGATTGTTGCATAGGTACATACATGGCAATGTGGCTTGCTGCCTTCTTCCCCATCACCTATATCTGGCATTTCTCCCCATGTTATCCGTCCCCAACTCCCCACCCTCGCCCCCCTCCCCGCTGTCCCTCCCTTAGTTCGCCCCCGCCCCACAGACCTCAATGTGTGTTGCTCCACTCCCTGTGTCCATGTGTTCTTGTTCAACACCTGCCTGTGAGTGAGAACGTGGTGTTTGATTTTCTGTTCTTGTGTCAGTTTGCTGAGAATAATGGTTTCCAGGTTCATCCATGTCCCTACAAAGGACATGAACTCATCGTTTTTTATGGCTGCATAGTATTCCATGGAGTATATGTGCCACAGTTTCCCTGTCCAGTCTATCATCGATGGGCATTTGGGTTGGTTCCAAGTCTTTGCTATTGTAAACAGTGCTGCAATGAATATTCATGTGCATGTGTCCTTATAATAGAATGATTTACAATCCTTTGGATATATACCCAATAATGGGATTGCTCGGCCAAATGGAATTTCTATTTCTAGGTCCTTGAGGAATTGCCACACTGTCTTCCACAATGGTTGAACTAATTTACACTCCCACCAACAGTGTAAAAGTGTTCCTGTTTCTCCACATCCTCTCCAGCATCTGTTGTCTCCACATTTTTTAACGATCGCCATTCTAACTGGCATGAGATGGTATCTCAATGTAGTTTTGATTTGCATTTCTCTAATGACCAGTGGCGATAAGCATTTTTTCATGTTTGTTGGCCTCATGTATGTCTTCTTTTGTAAAGCGTCTGTTCATATCCTTCCCCCACTTTTGAATGGGCTTGTTTGTTTTTTTCTTGTAAATCTGTTTTAGTTCTTTGTAGATTCTGGATATTAGCCCTTTATCAGATGGGTAGATTGCAAAAATTTTTTTCCCATTCTGTTGGTTGCCGATTCACTCTAATGATTGTTTCTTTTGCTGTGCAGAAGCTCTGGAGTTTAATTAGGTCCCACTTGTCTATTTTGGCTTTTGTTGCTAATGCTTTTGGTGTTTTATCATGAAGTCCTTGCCTGTGCCTGTGTCCTGAATGGTTTTGCCTAGATTTTCCTCTAGGGTTTTTATGGTGTTAGGTCTTATGTTTAAGTCTTTAATCCACCTGGAGCTAATTTTAGTGTAAGATGTCAGGAAGGGGTCCACTTTCTGCTTTCTGCACATGGCTAGCCAGTTTTCCCAACACCATTTATTAAACAGGGAATCCTTTCCCCATTGCTTGTTTTTGTGAGGTTTGTCAAAGATCAGATGGTTATAGATGTGTGGCGTTGCCTCCGAGGCCTGTGTTCTGTTCCATTGGTCTATATCTCTGTTTTGGTAATTCTTTATTTTTAAAAATATATATTTGCCATGTGATGTTAATTTGCAATAGGTGTCATGATGAGAATAACCAAAATTGGGTAAATGTGACAAAAGATTGACAAACTGTTTCGCACCCTTAAATTATACTACGTCAAGAATGAGGAGAAAGCATTGCAAAAGACTACTGCAATGCTACTTATATTCTTGCAATAAAACCAGCAAAGCATCCATATCAAGAGAGTTCTTATCTCACTTCCAACATTTGCTCCTCACAAACAATTTGAATATCTGGCATCCAAAGTCTTATAGGTCTATAAAACTTCTAGTAGATTTTTATGCTCCTTTGCATGACTTTTCAAGGTAAAAAATGTTACTTGTTCATATAAAAGGGTTCTTATTTCTTGTTCGATGGCAGATTGAGTTTCTGGACTTAGTTTCTCTGTATCACTGTAGGTCATAACTCCAAGCTTTCACTAACTCCGAATTTGATAACTATCCGCCTTGCTATTTTAGCGGCATTATCAAAATCACTGGAAGTACCAGTTGTAATATGGTAGGTTCCAAATATAAGCTCTTCTGCCACTCTCGCCCCCACGCTAGCATCCATTAGTGCAAGCAACTGGACTCCAGTTCCATTTCATCTGTAACACTGGGTAACAGGAAGACATGTCCAAGTGTTGGCCCTTGTGGCATGATTGTAGCTTTGTTGATAGGCATTTCATCCTTTGTGTAATATGCAACAATGGCAGATTCATGATATACTGTGATAGATTTGTTTTTGTTACGAATGTTTATGCCGCTTTTCTCAGGCCCCATAAGAATTTTATCTTTGGAAAACTCCAATTCCCTCATGGTAAACATTTCTTTCCCATCAACAGCTGCAAAAGGGCATATATTTGGTAAAATTTAATTTTTACAAAATGTCCTGAATAGACAAAGCAATAGAAACAGAAAATAGAGGCTGGGTGCAGTGGCTCACGCCTATAATCCCAGCACTTTGGGAGGCCGAGGTGGGTGGATCATGAGGTCAAGCGATCAAGGCCATCCTGGTCAACATGGTGAAACCCCGTCTCTACTAAAAATACAAAAATTAGCTGGGCATGGTAGTACACATCTGTAGTCGCAGCTTCTTGGGAGGCTGAGGCAGGAGAATTGCTTGAACCCAGGAGGTGGAGGTTGCAGTGAGCCAGGATTGCGCCATTGCACTCCAGCCTGGGTAACAAGAGCAAAACTCCATCTCAAAAAAAAAAAAAAAAACAGAAAGTAGATTAGTGATTTCTTTTTTTTTTTCTCCCATTTATTTATTTTATTGCATTTTAGGTTTTGGGGTACATGTGAAGAACATGCAAGATTGTTGCATAGGTACACACGTGGCAGTGTGATTTGCTGCCTTCCTCCCCATCAGATGTAGGTGATAGTGATTTCTTAAGGCTGAGGGAAGAGGAGAAGTAGGACTGACTAAATAGGGGGTTCTTTCTGAGGTGATGGAAATGCTGTGGAATGGGGTAGGGATGGTGATTGCACAGCATAGTGAATACACTAAAAACCATTTATCTGTACACTAAAAAATGGTGCATTTCATATGGTGTGAATTATATCACATAACCACGTAAATAAATAAATAATTTATATGCAGGTTTCTGCCCAGGGTTTGGGAAGCTGGAAAGAGTTTCACTGCGTCCCTAACCGTGACTAAAACTCAGAACAGCTCTATAATGTAGATTTCATCTGAGACTATCAGAAATCTGAGCTCTGGGAGCAACTGAGTAACCTAAATGCCAAGGAGGAGTAGGATGCCATGACAAGCTCCACAGAGGCAGAACGCATGAGGGCAGGAGGCTGCATTACAAGCTGGGAAGGAAGAATCAGATGAAATTGTAATGAATTCCTGGAGAGTTAATGTTTGCTGGCCACCAAGAAACAAGTATCTCTGGGAACCTAAAACAGAAGGGCACTAAACACTCGCCCACAGGCTTTTTTCCAGGGGTCTCAACTGGGCATTCATAAGATAGATTGTGAGTAAGGCGGAGACCCAATCTTTGCGGTCAGACATGATTACCTTCCACTGTGCATGGTCTGAAATCTCACCCGCTGCCCAGATACTTCTCCCATGTGTAGAAAAAGACTTGTCACTGGGAGAAGTTCAGCAAAACTTGCCAATCGCACACTATGGGAAACAACCCATTGTGGATGTAAGAAGGTAGATTTAAGAGTCCCTCTATCCCTAGGAGTACTGCAGAAAATTTCTGAAACCACAAACATAGATATACAAAGGAGAGAGATGGGAAATTCCATCCCAAATCAACCAAAACTACCAGGTACAATCCAGCTGCCAAGGAGAAGGAGGACAGAGACACTGAAAGAGCCCCACCCTTCAGGCCCATACACACGGAAATTCCCCAAAACTGAGGCTAGGTGAGGACAGGAGAAATTTCTACTCCCCACCATGAGCCTATCCCTGAGAAGCAAGCAAGAGCAGTCTACAACTGGGGGAGGCCCTAAGGCACCAAGTGGAGTACAGGATTGATGCAGTGGAGTCCATCCAGCTGTGGGGTCAGCAGTCCCAATGCAAGCAGGAGGGACCCATGAGTGGAATTGCCATAGGGCAAGAAAGGAGGACATGCCTGGATGCAACACCAGTGACTCCCTCTCATGAGGGACTGTGTAGCCACCACTGTAGCTGAAAGTCTCACCTGTGACTAGCAGAGAGATCTGGATGTGATGCCACCCTTTGAGGAGACCAGCAATCCACCTGGTGGCAACTTGATGACATGAAACACATTCCACTCAGGAGGGGGCAGCAAATCTTCATTAGTTAGAAGAATGCTTGCACTGAAATTGGGTCTGACTGAGCTCGTTGTAGGAGTCTGTGAAGACTCAGAATGTCTGACTTGTTTAAACGAAATATCCCATGACTTATTCTCAGACTGAAAATCCAGATGCCCATGAAGTCAGTGAAGGGAATGAGAACGTGGTCACATAATATTCTGGGGATGACCTGAGATAGAGTTATGTACCATGCAGTGGTTTGGTATTGCTGGGACTCAGAGAACATTGAAATGGCCTCTTAAAATTGGATGTATTGAACAGTTTGTGAATGAGACTCTGCAATTTGGGTGTTCTGTTATGGTGTGGTAGATATAAATAGGGATATAAAAAGTTGCAGATGATATAAAGACGATAGATGATGCTATGTGTTTTGATAGGTAAAATGCATGGACTCAAGAGTAAAGTGAGAGATTAACGAACAGCATCTATCACTAACATTACAGATGACACACTTGGGAGATGTGCACGTCCTGTGACTGAACTTTTCGGTGACCCTGGGTTGGAAGATCTGCCCGGTAAGAAACCACTATGAAGGAACAACACAAAAGTTACTCTTTACCGAAAATGATGATTTTGTGGTGTTTCCTTTGGTTTCTTTATCACAGTATATCAGAAGGTAGGGAGAAAGAGATTATACTGTCCTGGGTAATTTTCTTAAATAATGATGAGGAGGATTTGGTGAAGAGAGGGTAATTGGGCAGCTTAGATAATTTGCTGTGGAACTGATGAAGTCTCCATGACTGGAGGTAACCATGCCTGGGCTTGGGGTTTGTATTGTATCCCCAAAAAGGTATGCTGAGATCCTAACCTCTTGTAGCTGTGAATATGAACTTATTTGGAAATAGGATCTTGTAGGTATAATTTGTTGAGATGTGGTGATACTGGCTTAGGGCATGATCTAAATCCAATATTGCTCACATCCTTAGAAGATATGAAAAAGACACACAGGGAAGAACAGAATGCCATGAAAAGATGGAGGCAGAGATGAGAATGAGAAGTCTGTAAACCAAGCAATGCTAAGAATTACCAGCAAGGACCGAAATCTAAGAAAAAGACACATAAGTTTTTTCTTCCCTCTGGAAGAAAGAAATTATATCAACATTTTGATTTTTTATTTCTGGCCTGCAGAACTCTGAGAGAGTAAGTTTATCTGGCTTTTAGCCAATACTTTGCAATAATTTGTTAAGACAACCTCCAAGAAACCAACACAGTGGGCAACTGCAACAAGAAAGCCTGAGACAGGCACAATAATCAGGTGCTCAGATTCCTCACAGTTGAAATTTTATGTTTATTTCACTGGGCTGATAGATTAGACAAGCAGAGTTTTTCATGCAAACTATGGCAGAATGTAAGCAGAATCTAGAAAGGGTGATAAGACAACAAAGCTGGCAAATATCAAGGATAACCTCAGGATTAATTACAACAGAGAACACTGTACTTTTCCTCTTTCACACCCATATGCTTTGTTTGCTCATTTTTAGGTAAATGTGTCCAGCATGTTGTTGCTTTGGCAGCACATATGCCAAAATCGGAATGATACAGAGAAGATTAGCATGGCAGCTGCACAAGTATGTTACTAAATTCCCTGAAGCATTTTGTGTATATTTTTTAATATGTCCAGCAAAGACCTGGAAGAGGTTATAGTGTGAAAAAGACATGAACATGAGGTTCATGGAACTATGAGCAGGAAAAAGTGCAGCCCACAACAGACAGGGCAGACCCTGGTGATGCCCCATCAATGTTGTCTGGGTCATCTCTTCTTTTTTTTTTTTTTTGTTTTTGTTTTTGTTTTTGTTTTTGTTTTCAAGACAGAGTTTTGCTCTTGTTGCCCAGGCTGGAGTACATTGGCACGATCTCAGCTCACTGCAGCCTCCTCCCAGGTTCAAGCAATTCTCCTGCCTCAGCCTCCCAAGTAGCTAGGATTACAGACACCTGCCACCATGCCCAGCTAATTTTTGTATTTTTAGTAGAGATGGGGTTTCACCATAGTGGTCAGGATGGTCTCGAACTCCTGACCTCAGGTGATCTGCCCACCTCGGCCTCCCAAAATGCATCTATTACAGGCATGAGCCACTGCACCTGGCCCTGTCGTGTCTTTTTAGTTCATGTCATCCTAAATCTCCACTGTCAAAAGTTTCCTCTCCTAGAGATTCTAGATGCTATAAATGATAACATAAATGAAAAAAATAGAGGACATTCTTTAGAAGAAGACATCAAAATCAAGTACTCAAAAACCTAAGACTCATAGTGTTCACCATTCAGTCAATAATTAACCATTTAAACATTAAAGAAAGTTTACAATGTTTACATTTTTCTTTTTTTTTTTTTTTAACTTTCCTCTGGCTGGGTAATTTCAAAAGATCTATCTTCAGGTTTAGAGATTCATTCTTCTTGATCTTGTTTGTTGTTGACATTGTATATTACATTTATTTATTTTTTTTTTTTTTTATTTTTGGGACGGAGTTTCGCTCTTGTTACTCAGGCTGGAGTGCAATGGCACGATCTCGGCTCACCACAACCTCCGCCTCCTGGGTTCAGGCAATTCTCCTGCCTCAGCCTCCTGAGTAGCTGGGATTACAGGCACGCTCCACCATGCCCAGCTAATTTTTTGTATTTTTAGTAGAGACGGGGTTTCACCATGTTGACCAGGATGGTCTCGATCTCTTGACCTCGTGATCCACCCGCCTCGGCCTCCCAAAGTGCTGGGATTACAGGCTTGAGCCACCGCGCCCGGCCACATTTTTTTATTTTTTCCATTGAATTCTTCAGCTCCAAAATTTCTGAGATTTTTATTAATCTATATCTTTGTTGAATTTGTCATTCAGATTATGAATTGTCTTCCTGATTTTGCTAAATTTCCT